CCATCCCCAAAAAGAAATCAATATTCTTTGCTTGATCCTGCAAAGGGGAAAATAATGGTGCTCATCTAGAGTTCTTCAGAAGACTTATGCAGCTTGTTGAGCATCCAGTAACACCCCCCACACTCACACACCCCCAAAAAAATAATAAATAAAAAGTGATATTAATAGATAGAAGTTTATAGTAGCTGCTTGTAAAAGTGTGATTGAAGTTTTGGCATAATGTTACATCATTTAAGATTTAGTTCATTGTCAAGTTGTTTTCATCATCACAGAAAACCACAACAGTGACAGTAAAACAAAACTTGTAGTGTTAATTTTAAACCAAAACACAAGTGAAGCTGACAATGGCAGGAAGGGCACCATAGTTGAAGGCAAAAAGAAGCAGATCTATTAAAAATATGGACAGCTTGGAACAGGTGATACTCAGCCGAGATCACAACCAGTGCTTGTTCAAGGATTATCCAGCCTTACTTTGGTTTGTTTGATTTTTACATAATTGATACCTCTAATACATAGCCATTCATCTTCTATTGTTCAACACACACAAATATGTTATTGTAGCAGAACATAATTGATAGCTAAATAGGTTATAATTAATCAGTAAAACATGAATCAACAAGAACCCTAGCAGATTCATATTATGTTATTTATTGAAGAATCGCTAGACGTACCTGTTGCTGTTGCTCGAGGAATCGATGCATAGAAGAGAAACCAATTTGATGATAGACGATTGATTCGATCAATCGGAGAGTAGACTGTGATTGAGCGAAGATCAATTCGATGATAGACGAGTGATTGAGCGAAACGATTAGAATGAGGGGAAGCAATGTCAATGATACCGAAAACACTTTACAATTAGAACGAGAGAAAGCGAGTGATCAAATGTTCGATTTCGTGGAAGGAAATTTCATAACCGGAAGGAACGAGGGGAAGCGATGAAGAAGAAACCCTTTACAATTCTTTTCCTTATTTAATATATTATATATTTAGTTTTGATTATTATATATTTAGTTTTGATTATTTTTAATATTAATGTTTTAGATACACTTTTAAAGAGTAACTAAACATTTTTATTTAATTTTAAAAAATTTAAATTTTTTCTTAATTATTAGAGAAGCTTAAGAAAATGTTTCTAAAAATTGTTGAAACTTTTTAGAGACATTTTTTTATAAAAGCTTCTCTAAAACTTTTAACGACATTTCTTATAACGTATAATTAGCCTATAAATCCTTCTTTAAATGTCGTCCAACCTTTAGTTACATTTCTTATTTTTGTCATTTAAATCTTTCTCTATAATGTAGCTTTAGATACACTTTTAAAAGCTTCTCTAAAGATTTCTTCTCTAAAGCTTATTCCTCTTGTAGTGTTAGTTCTTGGAGTGACCATATTTTCTTTCCTGGGATGTGTAGAAGCTACATATTTTTCTGGTTAAAAAACCAGATAGCCTCTACTACATCCCTCACACCTATATAACAGATTACTCTTGCTACTTTTCCTTTTTTACACCTCGTAAGAGAATGCTAACATATCCAAAAATGCGCCTACCCTTAATGACTATTGTTATTACAACCTTTCAAAAACAACTACCCAACCTACCCCTTTAGTCTTTCTAGTCAACGTAACTAATAGCATCCCTCTGGGGTATATCAGATAACCATATAATATAAACATGTAAATAAAAATATGTAATAAAATTGGGTGTATTCTAGTCAACGTAACTAATATCATCCTTCTGGGGTATATCATATAACCACATAATATAAACATGTAAGTAAAAATATGTAATAAAAATGTGTGTATATATATTATATGTAAACTACATAATACAGTAAACAGTCTCTTGTAAATCTAATTGTACATTATATATCTCTAACAGAACCAGAATTCATTAAGGTGTACAAAGATCTAGAGGTTGATCTCTTCTTATTAATTTGGTCTATTGTAGTGGAGTTTTTTGTTCTTGGAGTGACCATATTTTCTTTCCTAGGATGTATAGAAGCTACATATTTTGCTCGTGAAAAAAATCAGATACCCTCTGCTACACCCCTCACACATATATAATATATTACTCCTGCTACTTTTCCTTTTTTACACCTTGTAAGAGAATGCTAACAATTCCAAAAATGCACCTACCCTTAATGACTACTGTTATTACAACCTTTTAAAAACAACTACCCAACCTACCCCTTTAGTCTTTCTAGTCAACGTAACTAATAGCATCCCTCTGAGGTATATCAGAAAACCACAAAATATAAACATGTAAGTAAAAATATGTAATAAAATGGGTGTATATATATTGTATGTAAATTACATAATATAGCAAATAGTCACTTGTAATCCTAATTGTACATTATATATCGATTCAAATACACAAGACTCAAAGGGAGTATGAGTCATTATGATTATATTTTAGGCCTAATATGCTTTTCTTGATCTTTTTTAGGCCAAGAAACCAGGAACTGGATTGAAATGGATACATAGTGATGGTAGACATAAGTATTTGAGGTGATTAAAATCACATATTTACCACTCACAAACAATACACCACAGAATAAAAGGTGAAAATATTTGGAAGAACAATTCATACCCATCTGAGAATCTAGGAAAAAGCTTACCTACAACTTTTGGTTGGGCGGCCTTCCACACAAATGTTTTTTGATTTGTAAAGGAGACATTGAAACCTGAAAAGAATTATTTTCTGTCACTCCACATTGTCGTACCGATTGCTATACATATATGAAACGTAGAGGCAAACAAATAATCAATTGCAATTGAAAACAAAAAAAAATAACCAATGGAGTAAAGATGGAAAGCTGTAAATTGAAGCTCCTTAACTTGAAAAGATTTTGGGCCTGCAAAAGAGAGAGAGAGAGAGAGAGAGAGAGAGAGAGAGAGAGAGAGATTTCGACAACCACTAAATAACAAATATATCAACCATAAAAAATTGGAAACTATAACAAAGAGAATGAATCCCCAATGTTTACTTTGTGACTCCAAAACTCACCGAGTCTTCTTCTAGTGGCATAGAGAAATTCTGTAAATGAGACACACCAAAAAAAGATTATTGTAATCTAAGCATAATAGGTTCACAAAAAACAAAAACATAAAAACTAACAAAGAACGATTGAATAGAGTGGAATAAGAAATAAGGAAACAAAAAAGACTCCACCTGAACTGGATGTAAACCAAATCTCACATTCCTGAACCCCTCCACTTGATGATTACGTGCATTCCTTCAACAGAATATAGCAGAGCCACCATAGAGATGGGATTGAAATAGAAAACGATCCTAACCCTAACACAATACGAAAATAGTCCTGACCCTAACACAAAATGGAAGAAGAGAAGGAAGATGCATTGCAGTATTGGAACGATGGATCGTTTCAATTGAGTGGAATAAGAACCCTGACTTGAAGAAATCAATGAAAGCCTGAATCATCTTCTTGAAAGAAATCAATTTTAGGGAGGAGAGTCGAGACTGTGTCAGAGATGAAGAGGCATAGATGAATGTTGGAAACGAAGCGTCAACAGGGAAAAGCAGTCACGAGTTGTACATAATGCATATCACATTGCAAGACTCTTTAAGAGATTTAAGACTTTTTACTTTATGCATTAGGATTTGTTTTTAAGACTTTAAGACTATGTGCATCAAAAGATAATACCTTATGCATTTAAGATTATTTTTAAGACTTTTATGAAATCTGGCTTATAAGGTATTATAGATAAAAACACCTATGGTTTATTATGTGCCATATAAAACATTTTGTTGAGAATCTTTAGAATGTTATACGACATTAATTTATAATCATTTTCACTTTATAAAATACTATTGTAAGAAAAATATTCAAATTATTTATTAATAGATAGTTTTTTTAAACTCTTTTTAGATGTTTTATTATTATTAATATAAAATATTTATACACTATTAAGCAATTCAAAGTTTACATTTATTGAATATTTAATATGTTGTTTAATGTAAATAAATGACATAAGACTGTTATGTACATAAATAATAAAGTTTTTAGGATGCTAATAAGTAAATATATCGGCCAAATTTAAATCTCAAACAAATGTTCTGATATTTATGAAAATGATGATATTGACGCTTTTGATACTATTGTCTCGATAGTTTTATGAGAAACGACAAATCATGATCGAATGGATTTTATGCTTTGATGGTATTTATAAATGGTTTACGTTAATGAACTATTTAGATGATCATAATAACAAAATAAACAAATAAAGTTGACCAACAACAAGAACAAAAGGATAGTTTATCGAAAACCCTAATTTTCAAATATCAATATATACAAATACATAACATACATAAAAATATACGACATGGATCAACTATTAACATTTATGAGCGGGATTTGTTATATGTTTTTGTGTTACCGGTGCTGCTCTTCTTGCTTTGTGGAATGTATTATGATTTTGTATCCCACTGATCAGCCCACGAGTTATAATTGTTGTCTAGTACCATTTTAGTTCGAATGTCTTCGATTTTTAATTCGATAAGCACAAGAAAATTGTTTAATCTTATGAAATTGTTTCGTATGATACTTTTCTTGATAAAGTTGTTTCATATGATACTGTTTTTGATGAAGTTGTTTTATATATAATGCTTTAATGAAACTGTTTAATTAATGTGTTTCCTAAAATAATATAATAAAAATGATGATATTCATAATTAACACCCTCCATAATAAAAATGACTAATTAATCTCCCATATAATATGAAAAAATGAAAAAAAATATTATTAATTGAATGAAATTTGCACGGTTTATAACAAATAATATGGTTTACAAAGTAAACTTCCGCTATATCCATACTATATTATATAATATTTAACCCATGTTGTCTCATCTCATTTTTGTCTCGTAACACATCAAACATGTGACTATTTATTTTTATCTCATGACACACCAAACATAAAACAATTTAAATAAAGTAATTAAATTTGAACGTTTTTATAAACCATCTTATATTTTGAAAATTATAAAGAAGAAACCAGATGGACTATATTATATTATGAACAAAGATGAAAGGGGTAGTTGGTACATTGGGAGGTAGCTGAAACAAACCATGATCTCCAAAACTCAAGCAGGATATCCATCTACATCTAGACATAGTCGGCGTGCGCAACCTAAAGTTGAAATACTAACATGCGCATACCAAACCCCTACACACATATACATACACACGAACGAACGATCAGTGTTTTTGGGTGGTTTTGTGATACTTGTCTTTAATCCATTGAAGACCAACAGAAGTGCCCTGTTTCACCTTCTTAGCACCAGTCGCAGCCACCTCTTTCGTCTTCCCGAATCCTTCTCCCATCTTCTTCCCGTATTTTCCAGCCATCCCTCCGCCACTGGTTTTCTTATTGTAATCAGCAGCAGGCGACGGATCTGGATTGTGATCCCATTGATCGGCCCATGACGTGCCATACGAACCGTTTCCTGACATCCTTCTTCTGCTTGATCGAACTTCTGTTATTTCTCCCGCGAATGATCACTCAATTTCTCGCCTCCAGCGTCGTCTGTTTGGTCAGATAAAGGAGGCGGTGCATGTATTTATAATCCTCCCTCATTTGACTTGACTTCATGCGAAAGCAATGAATCAATTCCCAATATGGGTTGGACCAGGCCCACGTTATCTTGCGAAAAGACAATCCTACCCTTTGCCTTTTCTTTTCCGCGTTATGTCTTTCGGTCAAATAAATCGCAAAATCCAAAGTCGGTTTCATTATTCTTATATACGTTATACCTACTTTTTGGTTTTGGTACCTACTTTTTGGTTTTCGTCCTTTCAATTCGTAAAGTATATTTTTAATATAAAAATTCGTGTTTTTTTAATTCGAACGAGTCTCTTCCACTAACATCGTTAGAGGAGGCCCTGTTAAGTTCACCAAATGTCCCTTACGTGAGGGATATTTTGGTCTTTTTATCCATCTTCATCTTCCACCTTTTTCAACATTAATTAAAAACCCTTTAAACGTAATGAAACCCAATGTGCAACACTTAAATTTGATGAAACCTTAATCATAAACATGTAAAATCAAAACCCTATATCATATTTATTTATCCAAAAAAAAACCTCAAGAGCATATGAATAACAAAGAAATTTGCACACATTTATAAAATATGGAGATACATAATCAAATATCTAAAATAAAATCAAACCCTAAACCTAAACCACCAAATTTAAACTCAAAATCCAAGTAACGGAAATCAAACCCAAGAGTACAAAGAACAAGATCTTCTAGAACCATAATTATAACACCAAAATTTGTTCCCCATAAGACTAAAGAAGTGTTAGTTAACGATTATCAATAAGTAAAGCAGAAACTGGTTCTTAGAAGGAGAAGAAGACTGAAAGAAAAGCTGAGGCTCGTGTTTGACACGATTCCCTTAAACAGATTCGGGTCTGTTCCCAGGGTACAACAGCCGGAGCAGTAGCACTGCCGGAGTCGGCCGACTTGCCTGGAAAATGGCTGAAAAGTTGTATGCAAACGGAAGAGCAGGGTGTATGTGAGGTTCGATTGAGTTGCGTGTCTTCAAACCGGGAATACGGCAGCATATATATACAGGAAGAACGTAACAGCATTTTAATGGCAATTATCATATTAAAATTGCCATGAAAACGCATCAGTTACTTAAACCGAAAATTAATGCGCCAATTAAAACGATTTCAGTTACTAAAACTAAAATCAAGTTTGAAAAAATAAAAAACAGACCAGATAAATTTCAGCAAAAACTGGCTTTGCACGACCTCGGAGCTGCATTCGTGTCCGCAGGTCGCGCCCACACATGAGTTCGGCAGATTTAGCCTACGAAACCCACAATCCGCACCCCCCCTGCGCGCGCATAGGTGTTGGAGCATAACATTTCATAATTGCTTGAAAGCCTTTGTGAAGTCCATGGTTATAAACCATGAAAACTTCTATCATCCCACCTATGTGGGACACTTYCCACACCCATTTGGTTTTTTGCTAAATTCATCCCAAGTACCCAACTTTGAGTCTCGATATCTCATTCACACATACTCGGTTTTGGACACATTATATATGGTTTCGAAGCTCTCATAATAGAGAACGTAAACCCACTAAGAGTCAATTAAAATTACACCATATACATGTAGTTAAATGCGTCCAAAGTTAGTAAAAATCACACTTTTTTCACTAAAATTTCCAACAAGAAGAACAAAGCCATTCTTGTTGTGCTCCTCTCGCTTTTTTGCTTTTGAAACTGTTGGTCGGATTGTAACCCCGATGAACGTTGCTATTGGAGGAGGCGTGGAGTAAGAGGGACAATAAAGGTGTGATTGTTGAGGTGGTGCTGAGGTAGGGACGATTCAATCGAGAACGGGATGAACGGTGAAGGGCTTGGTGGCTGTATTGAGCTGTTGTGTGACTGTAGTGGTGGTGTTGATCTCGTACGACAACAGACTCGACAGAGATTGGAGGGTTTGTTGTAAGGTATGTTTGCCAGAGAAAGGAAGCTTAGGAGTGGGGACGGTATCCCTGGAAGATTTGGGGAAGGGTTCTTGGAAGATTCGAAAAGGGACTTTTTCTGTTAATTATGTATTTATTATACAATATAAAACATTAATACATTTATATTTTTAACTGAAAATATGAAAAAGGAGTAAAATGATTACATGAAGGCACATGATAGTCTTAACGGGCCTTCTCTAACGATGTTAGTTCGGGGACTCATTTGGGCTAAACTAGAAAACTAGAAAACAAGTATAGATGAGGGACCATACATGTATTTCACCCTTATTTTTATTTTCTATAAAGTTATTTTTGTAAAAAGAAATATATTAAAATACTTGGATTAAATTAATTTGAGGGTGGCGCTTGCATCATTGACGATGACGAGTGAAACTTCCATTCACCATTTCTAGAAGTTTATAAGATCATCCATCACATTATAATTTCGAGTAAATTACAAATCTCCTCCCTTTGATTATTGAAAATTTAACCCAAATTATTACATTTTTTCTTTCGATTTTGTAACGTTAGTGATAACTGTTATTTTTAAGAGTTATTTCTTATTTATTTTCTTCTTTTTTGTTATTATTAAATACTCAATTTTCTTGTTTTTCTCCTTTTGTTCTAAAAAGTTTTAAAAAGATGATAAAACACAAGGGGAAGAAGTTTTATTCCAAAAACCTGTATTTTCTGGCAGAACTGCCCATTGTGGGAAGTCCACGAATTTTGTTGGTTTCTGCTTCTTGGGAGACGTGCAGCTTTAAGAATTCTTCAGATATTTCTTCCAGCTGTTTATGAGCTGTTTTGTTGTAACTTTTTTATTTTATTTTAAGATGTTTTGTACTATTACCCTTTGGGGTAATCATTTTGGTTGTCCTTTTCTCCCTTTCCCCCCTGTAATAGGAGGTATTTGGAGCTCTTTTGAAGACATCTCATTTCATATCTCATCTCATATCATCATCCAAGACACAATACTCTAGCGTGTCTTGCTTCTTTATTTTATTATTAAGCATTTAATTAATGTCTTTTATTTTTAGCTGTAATTTAGTATTTTATTTCTTTATACTTGTAATTTAGTTTTATATTAATGCAATTTATATTTAAGTATTATTTAATGTCTTATATTAATTTTATTATGTCTAGCTAAATTACTCGTATGGGTGTGAGTGTGAGTTTAACTTAGGACTTTTTATACAATATTTGAGTGTTTTTATCTTTTATAATTCGTAACTTGGTCATTTAAGACAAAACTTAAACTCGACGCGGATAAGCCGATCACTTTGAAGTGTTAATATTAGATCCTAGACTCAGAGATGGGCGGATCTAAAATACGGCTTAAGTGATGCATAAAGAACTCGATAGAGTCTTTGATAATTATGTGAAGACGCAAATTTTGCATGCATTTAGCTAGGGGTTAAGCGATGGGTATTCTTATCACAAAGATTTGGGTAAGAATCGTATTTCTTTTACTTTTTGGCTAGATTGACAAGTCTCGAATTGGTAAATGTAAAAACCTTATGGAATTTTATAAGACCCGGTTATAAAAGTTCACTTTCGAGATATTGAAATTTTTATAAACAACTTATAAGATTCTAACCATTTTATTGTTAATTTTATCCTAAGAAATACTTACACCCATGCCCATTCTTTAATATAAAAAGTTTATTTCGTTATTTCACTAGTTCAGTCTTTTTATAAACAAAAACCCAACTTTTATTCTCAACCCGAAACTCGAGCAAGAAGTTCATGAAAAATCTCTGAATCTCAGTAGTTAATTCCCTGTGGAACGATCTCGGTACTTTTTACCACTTTATTACTTGCAAGCGATCATAGTGTCGGCGTGCACTTGCACCGCTACTATGGAGATTTTGTGCCCACTGGGTGAACATGAACGATCCTAGTCTGTCAGTTAGAAATTCTAGTTCAATGGATTTTTTTGCACATATATCTTTTTCTCATGTTTTTTATGGGTTTAACTTCGATTTAAATGTTGCTTCATCATTTGTGGGTTGTGACAAAAAATTGAGATTGAGCTTAGGATATTGGAAGATTTAATATATGGTTACTAGTGGGACACTGCCATTTCTATCATCATTTGTGCTTTGTTTGTCTTCGAATGCAAGAGTATGTATAAAAATATCTACTTTGTGATCATTTATGATTCTTTATTATTATGTCTTCTATATGTTTGATAATACGTCTCAGAAGAGATTCCTCGATAAAAGATTTATGTTTGTTTGATGTATTGCTTAATATTTGTTGTGTCAAGTATAATTTCATTATAATTTTGCTTTGAATCAAAGATTTAGGATAATGGGTAAATGGTTTTCATGCTTTGGTGTCTTTTGTTTATTTTTTTATATTAATATATCATTTGAGTTATATTCTTGAATTTCTAGGTTTATATCATTGTTAGCTAGAATTTCTCGGTTTATATCATTGTTAGATTTGCTTGTAGATAGTGAATTAAACTTGAACATAATGATGGGCATAAATCTTTTTGCAATTACAGTTTTTCTAAGCCAAATTGAGCTTTTCGAATGGCTGTACACTTGATAATATACAAGTTGTAAAATTTCTAAGCCAAATTGAGCTTTGCAGAAGTTACACACCCTCCATGTTAAACCATGTATTCTGACATTTAGCAAAAGATCTACAGTGGGTTTTGTTTTATTCATGAATTGGGTTTTGTTTTGTTTTGTTTTATTTCAATTACTTTAGATTTGCAAATATTATTTGAATATATTTCCGTCTTCACTTCAATTCGTTATCTTGGATTGCATTTTTTTGGGATTTCAGTCATCACTGGAGACTCATCCATTCACACGCTCGGTCCAAGTAATTTATTTTTATTTTTTCCCCAATAATTTCCATCTTCACTTTTGTTGGTTTTTCTGGACTGCATTTTTTTTGGATTTTATGTTCGAAACGAACTATTATCTTGTTAGAACCTTTTACCTGTTAGTGCACCTTTAGAAGAAATATGTTAGTTGAGCAGCAGGTTCTTTTTTTTGCTTTTGGACACATGTATGTATTTTCAAACAACTTTCAGATAATACAATTTGTTGGG